CACGCAAAGCTTTTAATAAAAAATTTGTTAACAAGTTTTCAGTTTCTTTTTGCAGAGAAAAACAACTTTTTACATGAAGGCACGGGTTTCAACCATGAATTTTGGAGCTTCGACAAGACAGAGGTTTTTTCCCCCCGAGGTCGGCCTGTTAGCTTAGTTTCTCAGCTTAGCTGTAATGCTGGTGAAGATTCTCAGTCTTCCAGGACATGATAAATGTCCTGAATGGATGCAGTGAGGACTGTCCAGACCTCTACGTTGGGGAAACTAAACAGCCTCTTCACAGATGCATGGCTCAACACAGGAGAGCCACTTCATAAGGACAAGATTCAGCTGTTCACCTCCACCTCACAGATAAGGGACACTCTTTTGGGGACCAAAATGTGCACATTTTGGACCGAGAACATAGATGGTTTGAGACGGGGGTGAAGGAAACAATTTATATAAAAAGAGAAAAAAACATCTCTTAACAGAGGAGGAGGCCTCAGATTTCCACTTTCAAAAACCTATAATGCAATTTTAAGACTGATTCCTAGCCGGTTTTCACACCTTATGGGAACAGAGGGGCCTCATCTGTGAATTAGAGTAACAAAGACCTTATGAAACCCCTACTGTTAAGGTGTTGAGGTGTGAATTGTCAAATCTACATGTGTATGTGTGTCTTATCTCACGCAACCTTATAACCTGAACCCCTCACTCACTGCTCTTTGAATTGAGAAAGCTCCTCGGATGAGGAGCGAAACGTCTTCTGTTAAAAATAGAGTCCAGTTGTTTTTGTATTGAACATTTTTTGAACTCAGCTTAGCTGCTTTTAACGGTACAAAAACACGATTTTGGATGGTTAAAATGGATTTTAAAGAAATAAGAGAAAGTGAGGGGTCAGTGAAGAGCACTGGAGTTGAGCCTTTTGTTATTCAGTGTCTTCAGTAGAAAGCGAGAGACACGAAGAAACGATAAAGCCGATAAATGAAAATGAGGTTGATAATTTTCATTTATCATGCGATTAATTGATTTATTGTTAATTGCGACAGGCCTAGCTGAGCGACACCCTGCACTTTTTATGCTGCTCTCCACAGTGAGACAGTGAACATAGTTCAGCACAAGCAGGATGATCCTCCAGCCACCCTCTAAAATGAAAGAGCATTTCCGTAAAAAAAAAAAGAAAAGAAAAAAGAGAGGAACCCTGAGAAAGGCTTCTACCAGAAACTGAGTCTTTGAGACATCACTCTGCTCCCAGACAGTGAATGAAGTGGACAATTAATAGTTTGATGGATGATTAGATTCTGATGTCTCATCTCTTTAAAGCATGTTACTGTGAAGGATGCTGTCACACACACACACCAACACTACACAAGCCTTCCTCCTTTAGTGCAGTGAAACAAATCCTGAATCAAAATGAGGTCACAGCCAGTAGTATCTTCCTCATCACACCATTATTACTCTCTGCCCCAGGGGGAGGAAGGACTACACAGCCCTCTGCTAATAAAAGCACTGTACACTACAGTCATAGCATTACCATGCTCAACCAGCAGGGGCAGCATAAGGCGGATAATAGAGGGAAGTGAAAGAAAATATTTAGTGTCCTCACAGCTAATATATTATTATTTGATTGTTTTTGACTCACATTTAGCCTTATTGCAGTTAATGTTTATTTCCACACAGACACTAATGCACCACAAATCCTATCTGATCATTTTAACTGGAAACGATGTATCTGATCACAAGTCTGATAGCAAGAACGCAGAGCTACATTTGTTACCGAGTGGTGAATCACGTGTGCAAGTAATTATTTTAAATACTTCTATGATCTTCAAGAAAAAGTTAGATAAATTAATTTTTTTAGATGCAGTGTGAAAGATTTGTTTAGATTAGAATGTTTAGATTAGGTTAGATGTCTTTTTGCATTTATTATAGGTCTGCTTGTATTTATTGTTCTGTTGCGTATCTGCACTGTGTCGTTTTGTTTTGCACGTTATGTTCCATGCTGCACCGTGATCCTGGGGAACACCGTTTCATTTCAATATGTACTTGTACGTAGCTGAAATGACAATAAAACCTCTGACTCTGAAAGCCCAGTGCCGCTAAATGACCCACGACTGAGAATTGCTATAGAGGAGCAGGTTAAAACCTAAAATATGCAAATCACTAGCTAAAACCTAAAAGTAGCACAAGGGTAGCAAAAAGGTAAAAGTAGCTGAATGTTAACTGAAAGCTAAAAGCAGCAATATGCTAACTAAAAAGTATCAAAACACTTGCCAAATCTAAGTGTAGCAAATGGGTTCCTAAAATATAAATGTGGCAAAAGGCTATAGCTAAAAGCTAAAAGTAGCAGAAGTTAGTTAAAAACTAAAAAAAAAAATAGCATAAGAAGATAAAAAAAAATTGAGTTTGCATGCTTGCATGGTGATCTCAATGTATTTATTTGGGGAAATATGCATAAAAGAAGTTAAACATTTTGATAAGGAACAAAAGTTACAAACACAGAAAATCATAGCACCCGTCCATGAATTAGCTGAAATGACATTCTTTGATATATGATTAACTTCTGCACAACGGATGCAGAAGTTTGCAAAAAGAAAAGTTATGGGAAAAAAAACAAAAAACTGGAAAATGTATGTAGAATTCTCCATAATCATTAGCGTCAGTCATAGCATGTGCTTCCCAGAAAGCAATACTGTTTATCATCATTAAAATAAAAATAAACTCCAAGACAATGAGCTTAAACAAGAACTGCTACTGATAGAAAAATAATAATAAAAAAACAATCACACGTTCCATTGTCAGTGTTTAAAAAAAGCAGAGTTCCCAAGTGATTCCCTATCCACTGAATACTGACGTACATAGATATGTGCACCCCCCCTCTTCTCTCCTGCCTTCTCTCCCCATCTCCTTTCCTGCTGCTGTTATGTAATGTGTGCGCGTGCGTGTTATGAAACCTTGCACTGGAACTCACGGCCCAGTTGATCAGAGCTCACACAGACACAAAAGAAGCTCTGGGGATTGTTTTAGAGCTCTTTGTTTGCACCTGCAGGAATGTGAATGCACTATACAGTTTGTTTAAATTAGAATATGCCAAAAATTATGAAATGATTGTAATTGTGAGGCTGAGAAAGTACTGAGTAGCCCCAAATGGATCAGTGAGTCCATAAGTATAATCTGCATAAATACTGGGACATATCCTGGCTGGTTTATAGAAATAAATACACATCTACCTCTCTGTTAGCAATGTAAAGAAGAAGAAAGCATGGTGAGGTCTAAAATGGCTAAATGAAAAATAAATAATTCACTTATGCATACGATGTATAATAAGACAGAAAAATAAATTGCTACTTGCATATCTTGCCACTTCAGACTGAGGCATTAAGGTGAAAATTTTAATCAGGTTACAAAAGCTGACCTCAGTCAGCTACTGTTTATTGGGTTTCATTATAGACTGCTACCAAAGGCAAAAAGGCGATAATGTTTTTGCTCATACTGCCTGTGTGCATGTTTGCTTGTCAATTTGGTAAAATATTGCATATAAAACTACATAAGTTCAATTCAACTTTCAAAAAGTAACTACTGGATGCAGATCGTCACCTGAATTTTTATTTTCAAGATGGCTACCATAACTAATCAACCTTAGCCGACTAGATTGCGGCTTGAATCAGACATATTGCAAAACAAACAGACATTGATTCATCTTACTACACTGTACTTTAATCATTTTATATTTTTGTACTTATTTTGCCCTTTCTCCAAAAGTATCACCAACTTTAAAGTTTAGTCAAATCATAAAATGAAAATTTTAAAAGTTTAATTTCAGCTATTTCGCCTAGTTGAGTCAAAATACATATTAAATCCCATTTTCCAAAAGAATAAACCTTGGAAGTGCTGTCAAGAATAATCATCATACTTCAACTTGAAAATATAGATATACAGTATAATTAAAAAATCTTAATTGTGATCTAAAAAACGTTAACATAATCATGCAAACTGAATGATTTTTGACACATATAAAATATCTATAAATAAATTTCTAAATAAAAAAAGAACCCAGAAACGTTAGTATTCACATTTTGTGTTAAACAAGCTTACAGTAAATTGAAAGGTATTTTGACATTAGTCATCTTGAGTCCCAATATTCAAACCCCTTTAACTGCACCCACTCAGGCAGAAAACTATATTGGCACACTTTGTAGGCTTCGTCTTGAGTGTGTATAAGAAGTTTGTTTTAATGTCTCCAGTGGCAGATGAATGTGCCATTTCAAAATGAGCTTTAAGATAATCTCATTAATTAATATAATAGAATAACTGATGTTGTTGACATCAGTTAAGTAAAAAATAAAAAGATGATAGTGACTCGTTGTAAAACACAGGGAATACAGTAGTCTCTCGCTACATCGTGGTTTGTTTTTCGCTGACTCGCTCTATCGCAGTTTTTCAAAGTAAGATTGGACATGACACACA